GGATCAAACTCAGGGCCTTGTGCTTGCCTGGCAGGTGCTGCACCTCTGAGCTACATCCCTGGCCCTTCCTCATTCTTTTTTTTTTGTGTGTGTGTGGGGTACCAGGGATCAAACTCAGGGCCTTGTACTTGTCAGGCAGGCATGAGGCCATCGAGCTACATCCTCAGGCCTTCCGCATTCTTTTCAATGCCTGCATAATGTTCTGTGGGAGCGGAAGCATCCTTTTCATTAATGCATCCCCTATGGATAAAACTGGAGTGGCTTCCCATTTTTTAGGGCTTCTACACAAATAATGATCAAAGACAAGTAAGTAAACAATGACAGAGAATCTCTGTGTGATATGGGCATGGCTTCAGACTCTGCAGACAGATCTGCCCCAATCTCTCTAGATAAGTTCGACTCAAGGCCCAGCACAGTGGTGCACACCAGTAATCCCAGCATGCAGAAGCCTGAAGCAGGAGGATCGCTGCAAGTTCAAGGCCAGCCAGAGTGACTTAGTGAGACCCTGTCTCAAAAGACACAAACAAAAGCACGGCAGGCAGACGCAGCAATCCCTAGCCTGAGTTGCCACCTACAGGAACCGAGATCAGTGGGCTGGAGAGGTGGCTGCCCTCCCCTGTTCACACCAGCCGAGCTATGCAGACGCCCTGGGTGCTCATCACAGGTGAATGGATAAAGAAAACGTGGCGATGTCTACAATGGATACTATTCAGCCATGGAGCAAGCAAACAAACAGGAAATTCTCTCCACAGTGTGCACGAACCTAGAAGACATTACGTGAGGCACGGAGAGGCAGAAACCGTGTGATCTCACTGGCAGGTGGAATCTTGAAAATCCCGAGTGGGAAGGGAGATGCCAGTCACTGGGAAACAAGTCAATGTTGGGGAGGATGAACAAGGCTTGGTGTCCTAGTCTACAGCCAACACTCACACAGTGCAGATTGCAAAATAGCTAACAGGGAGGAGGAATTCGAATCACAAAAGAATCATTGCAAAGAAATGATAAATGCCTGTGATGATGGATATGGCAACTACCATGTTTGATCATCACGAAGCTTAACCATGTTCAAAATAGGACATCAAAGCCGGGCGTGCTGTCACTTGCCTGTAATCCCAGCATTCAGGAGGCTGAGGCAGGAGGATCACTGAGAGTCTGAGGCCAGCCTGGGCTACATAGTGAGCTCAAGGCCAGCCTGGACTACAAAACAAGACTCTGTCTCAAAAACAAACAAACAAACAAAAACTCCAAGCAAAACAAAGCATCGAAGGGTAGGTCTTCTAGGGCTTTGTGGGGCATGAGGACTCAGGTTTTCACCCCAGTTAGATGGCCTAGGACATCCGTGAGACACCTAGGGACAAACGAGGCTTCCAAACAAGAGACAGGGTAGGGGGCCAGGGCCCAGGGAAGGGGCCACAGATGCTGGCGGGACAGAGGTGATCAGAGCCTGGGAAATGTGAGCAGCAGAGCTGGCTGTGGGGTGCGTGGGGGTGTGTGAAGCATCCAGGCACCGCAGGGACCATGAGGTTTGTCCCCAGAGCACGTGGGTGGAGGGAAGTCTCTTGAATGTCCTGCTGTTTCAAACCTCAGGGTCTCGCATGCCTGCACCTCCCACCCCAGCCTTGAGTACCCCAGCTCCCCACACATCCCACCCAGAGGATGCCCTGTGTGGAAATTCCTGTAACCCTGGCCCTGCTCCACTCAACGATAGGGAAGGGGCCTGACTTCGACCAGGCTGCAAATCTGTCCACAGGAAACGACTTCTGGTTTTTTCCTTCAGCAAACATTTATTGGGCACCTACTGTGTTCCAGGCAGTGGGAAGAGTGAGGAGGCAGACAGTTCTGTGCCTTCACAGGGCTCTAGTAGGGAGGACAACCACCAGGAGGGACAGGAGGACAAAGCAGGTGGACAACCAGCAATGGCACTTGGTATTGAGAATGGCAAGTGCAAAGGCCCTGGGGCACCTGTGCTGGCATGGTGGTCAGAATATCCAGGGGATGGTGTGGCCAGAGGGGTGCAGTGGAAAAGCAGGCAGGAGGAAGGGGTGGGTGCCATGGTAGGGTCTCGTGGGCCTGGTGAACACTTTGCCTCTATTCTGAGCAACAAGGGACCCACAGGAGGTTCTGTACAGAAAAGGGATCGTATTAATCGTGTTCCTTATTTTGTGATATTTTGACATCTTCTTTCTTTCTTTTTTGAGGCGAGGTCTTGCTATGTTTGTTGCTCAGATTGCCCGGGGTCAAATGGTCCTCCTGCTGCAGCTTCTCCAGTAGCTGGGACTACAGGTTCCAACCACAGCACACAGCCATTATGTTGACATCCTGAGCTGCAAGGGTCCAGAGAGGCTGCTCTCCCAGACTGACCCTGGGGACCCCGGATGGTGCCCACCACTGGTCCCCACCAGTCTGATAAGCATTCCAGAAACTTCTTTCACCCTTGGCCCAGTGCCAAACCATCATCGAGACCAGCACAGTTGCCCCCAAACAGATCCTAAAGCCACTTTGTTGTTGTAGTTTTTGTTTTTTGCTGTGCTGAAGACACAAGCCAGGCCCCCATCATGCTAGCCAGGCACTGAGCCACTGTACCAACCCTTTTTATTTTATTTATTTTTGTTTAATTAATTAATTTATTTATTTAGGTACCGGGGATCGAACTCGGGACCCTGTGCTTGCGAGGCAGGCGGCGGCACCACTGAGCTACATCCCCGGCCCATTATTTTTTTTTATTTTGAGACAAAGTCTTGCTAAGTCACTCAGTTGCCCAAGCTACCCAGGAACTTTGGATCCTCCTGCCTCAGCCTCCTGAGTAGCCAGGATGACAGGCTAGACCATTGTGCCCGGTCTGAAGCCATATTTTAACAGCTTTTTAAAAATTTTGTTTTGTTTTGTTTGAGACAGGGTCTCGCTATGTAGTTCAGGCTGGTCTTGAATTCACTATGTAGCCCAGGTGGGGCTCGAACTCTTGGTGATCCTCTTGGGATTACAGGCGTGCGCCACCACCCCGGCGGCCCTCATCATTCCTGAAGATCCAGGCAGAGGAAGCCTGGCCCCTGCGAGCCTCATCCAGCCTCTTCCTCCTCCTCGAGATGCCCAACTAGGAGTTCCCGCCTGGAGGAGCTAGGACTACATTTCCCACGAGCCTCCGCACGGTACCGCACCTCCCCCGCGCTTAGCTCGGCGGGGCTCAGTGTCCTTCAGCCGCGGGCCAGCTGCCTGCACTGTCCCTGGCCCCCCACCCCGCCTCGTCACCTCACGCCCGCGTTCTGCAGCCGGGCCGAGCACCCTCTGCCTCCCGCGGCGAACCTGCCTCAGTTTTCCGGACCGGAGTCCCCGCGAGGCAGCTCCTCCCGCGGGGGTTCCCGTGCGCCACGGCTGCGCGCTGGGCGCTGCCCGGGCCGCGCAGAGGCTGGAGCTTGGGGGGCGCGCGGGGCGGGGTCTGGGTCGCCGCGCCACGGGTCGCCAAGGGGACGCGTCGCAGGTGCCGCCGAGCGATGGAGACATCTGCGCCGAGGGCGGGAGCCCGCGCTTCCGGGTGTGTCTTCAGCTCTGGGTGCGGGGGGACCCTCTAGACGGCAGCCTGGCACGCGCGCGTGTTTGTGTGTCCGTGTCTGATGTGTCGCTGTCCCTGCCCGGGTTCCAGTCCTAGTTCTGCTCCTTCCGGGCTGTGTGCCTTGGAGCAGGTGACTGCCCTGGCTGTGCCTCAGTTTCCTCCTTGTACAATGGGCTTGATAAAAGTACCCAACTCTAAGGGCTGTGAGAAGAATTAAAAGGTAAAAGTATAAAGCGCTGAGAGCAACGCCTGGCGCAGCGCAAACACTCAGAAGAATAAATAAATAAAATAAACGGTGATCATGTATCTTTTGTTACGAGGCAAGTGTCATGGTTGTGCAATGTCTGTGAACCTCCTGGTGCTGCCTGTCTGTGTGTGCTCTTGGTGTGTCGTGTGTGCCTGTGTGTGCTTATGTATGTGATGTGTGGCTAGTGGGGGAAGGAGTCTCCATAGCCTTGGTAACCTTGTGCGAAGTGTGTATTGTGTTTTTGCAATGCGGTTGTCCAAGCCTATTAGGTCTGTGTTGTTCCAGGTCTGTGTTTCAGGTTGTGTGTTTATGGGCAGGGTGTGTGACTGGGTGTATTTGTGTGTAATGTGTCTGGATGGGTGAGTGTCATGTATTTGTGTATTTTTGTATGAGTTGTGTAGCTTTGTGGGGGGGGCATCTACATATGTGATGAATCTGTATCCGAGGAGTGAAGTGTGCGTCATGTGTGTCCTCTCTGTGACCATACACAAGCATGTGTGTGTTGTGTGCCCTTGCATGTATGATGTGCCTGTCTGCACACCTGCATGTGACATGTGTCTGTGTGTCTATGCTGAGATGTCCCTATACCTATGTGATGGGCACGTATGTAACACTTGCATTGCTGAGTGTTCTTTGTCACCCATTTGCCTGTTTGTGACTCTGCCTCAGCGTGTCACTGTGGTGTCCGGGTAGATCTTTGTCTGGCGCCTGTCTGTGGCTTTGGGGACTGACTTTGCCTGTGGTGTGTGTGTATCTTTGTGAGGCTTTGACGACCCTGCATGGCCCGGTGCAACCTTCCTGTGTGTTTTTGGTGTGGCCTGTCCCTGCGTCTTTGTGTGTGACGGGGACGTGTCCCCGTCTGCTGATGGCTGTCCACCTTTGTATGTGATGTGCTTGTCTTCGAGGGTCCCTGCGACATGTGTCAGCTCTGCGTGGGCTGCGTGCGCTTGACACCTGCATCTTGGCATGTAGCACACATGTCCGTGCCATGGTATGTCACAGTGGTGTCATGGCCAGGCACTGGGGACTCTGCACCCCCACACACACACCCAAGGGTCTGCCGGTCCTGCCTGTCCCTCCCCCTCCCGTCTCTCCCCTCCCTCCTGGCAGCTAATGCTACCGGGAGCCAGTTGCCATGACAACACTCCCTCCTCCCTCATTCCTCCCTCCTCCCACCCTTCCTCTGACAGGCTCTCTGCTCCTCCAATCCCGGCTGTCCTCGGGGGCGGGGCCCTCATTCTCGCCCCCCATCTTACCCTCTCCCCCCAACCCCAGCCACCCCGGCTGCCCAGCTCCTCTCCTCTGTCCGCCTTTCCATCCCTCCATCAGTCTGTCCCTGCGAAGAGGGGGAGGGGGGTACCTGAACCAGCAAGCAGCCCCTCCCTCCCCCGTCCTGCGTCTCCCGCCCCTCTCTTGGGCTGGGGGGAGGTCAGGGTCGTGCGGGTCCCCATGGCCGGGGGCTGAGGGCCCGCCCCCTCCTCCCCAGCCGCCACCACCTCCACCTCCCTTCCATCCTCGACAAGATGCCTGCCCCAGGCGCCCTCATCCTCCTCGCGGCCGTCTCCGCCTCCGGCTGCCTGGCGTCTCCGGCCCATCCCGGTGAGTTTGTCCGGCCATCCGTCTGTCCAGGGCCCCCACGCCAACCGCGGCCCCGCTGCTGCGGGGCCCTGTCTGCGGGCCTCCCGATCCGTCACCTGTGCGTGTCTCAGCACCGCCGAGCTGGGCCTGAGAGCCGCGGGGACGGGTGCCTGTGTCGACCAGGCCTGGGGAAGGCAGGCTGGGGGTTGGGCTGGGAAGGGGGCCTGTCTGGCAACCTGTGTGTTTGTGTGCACGCATGTGTGTGCGCCGGTGTGTGCAGGGAGCCGGGGAAGGCTGGGCCTCTGGGAGGCTGGGGACAGAGGGGAGCAACACTATTTCTAAGGGGAGCGCAACACCGATGCTGGCTGGCTTTGGAAGAGACCCAGGGCTTGCAGTGTGTCCCTTCTTAGGGGATGGGGCTGGGGTAAGACGACAGGCCTGGGCTCCAAGCGTCTAGAAAAGAGACAGGTCTCAGCATTCCCTGATTGGCGGCGGTGAGGGGGGCCGCATGGGGCAAGAATGTTCCCCCAGTCTGCAGTTGGGGTATCGGGGTGATGAATCTGCCCATGGGAGCGCATTTTAAATGCTGAGGGCCCCAGGCCCCACTAGTACTCCTTCCCTCAACCTGCATCCGAATTCTTTAATGTCTGGGATGAGGGAATGCGGTGTGTGTGTGGGGGGGTCCCAGCTTTGGTGAGAGGAAGAACCCCACCCCCAGCCCGACCACCTGGGAAGGCCGCAAACTACAACTCCCACAAGGCCCTGGGCCATCTGGTTCCCCTGCCAGGGGCCCCCTGGCTTCAGAGTATCCTGGCAACTGTAGTCCAAGACTGACCAGGATGGGAGGGTCACGGAGTGCAGAAGCCAGGGGCTTGAAGCCGGGACCCCAGCCCAGCCTTGTGCCCACAGATGGATTCGCCTTAGGCCGGGCCCCTCTGGCCCCTCCCTACGCTGTGGTCCTCATTTCCTGCTCTGGCCTATTGGCCTTCATCTTCCTCCTCCTCACCTGTCTGTGCTGCAAAAGGGGTGATGTCGGTTTCAAGGTGAGGTGCCTGAGGAGCTAACCTGTTTTCCCCCAACCCAGGTGTCCAGGGAGGAGGGGCAGCAAATCAGAGCTCACTCTGGCCTGAAGTAATGGCGCCAAGACCTGGAGCCTTGGGATCTGGAAACCGGGGTGGAACTTGGGCTGGGCTGGAGGACTGTATGAATACCACGGGGCAACACACTTAAGGGGAGGAGGCCAGGGTGTCTCTCAGCCCTCTGCTCTGCTCCTCACCTCCCTGGCCCCAGGAGTTTGAGAACCCTGAAGGGGAGGACTGCTCCGGGGAGTACACGCCCCCTGCGGAGGAGACCTCCTCCTCACAGTCGCTGCCGGATGTCTACATCCTCCCGCTGGCTGAGGTCTCCCTGCCAATGCCTGCCCCGCAGCCTTCACACTCAGGTACTGCCCCACACCCAGACCAGGAACCTATAGTCTCAGGGAGGCAGGACAGATGGCACTGACCGTCTTCCCTTCTGGGGCCAGGGACCTGAGTCATGAAAGGTAGAGGTGGGAACCCTAGACTCATGGAAGTAGCCTATAGAGACAGACAGATATCATTTTGGTGGAAGCCATTGCTTAATCCAAAACCAGATTTGGGGATTCTTGTGGGGCAAGGGATGGTGAGATCAGCCTAGATCTCAATCTCAGAGGCAGCCAATGGAAGGCTGAAACCAAGTCATAGGAGCTTGGGATGCCAAAGGGAAAGACTGATTGGCTGCTGGAATGTTGTGGGCAGCCAATGAGGAGGCTGAGGTCCTGTCATGGAATGCGGGAGGTAGCCAATGAAAAGAGACTGGTGTCTGCTTTGACTGGAGTTAACCACTGAGTGCGGGGGGGGGGGGGGGGGGGGTAGCAGCTGGGGGGAAGAGAGGCTTAGGGGCCTCCCCCTCCCCCTCCCCAGACATGACCACCCCCCTGGGCCTTAGCCGACAGCACCTCAGCTACCTGCAAGAGATCGGGAGTGGCTGGTTTGGGAAGGTGAGCAGGGCTGGGGTGGGAGGTAAGGTGTCCATACAGGCGGCCTGTGCTCCTGCTCTGTGTCCATCCCCCCCTCACCACTTTTCATCTGTCCCTCACCCCCGCCTACCCTCTCAGCCTCCCCGTCCACCTCCCCAGCACCCACCCACCACCTCCCCCGCATCTGTCGGTCAGCGCCTCTCTCCTCATTCCATTGACCACTCCGCCTTGCCATCCGGCTCTCCACGCGTCCGTCCGTCTGTCCATCCTTCCATCCGTCCTGCGTCCATCGGACTCTGGGCCCGTGAGTCTCACTTTGTGTGGTGGGGGATGGACGAAGGTGGTCGGGTGTGAGGGGGGAGCCAGAAATGAGGGGGGAGTTGGGGTCCCTGGGGCCAGGGCTAGGGACACGGCTGTGGCTGACTCCATCCGGTGCCTCTCGGCCAGGTGATCCTGGGAGAGATCTTCTCCGACTACACCCCGGCCCAGGTGGTGGTGAAGGAGCTCCGGGCCAGTGCCGGGCCACTGGAGCAGCGGAAGTTCATCTCGGAAGCCCAGCCTTACAGGTATGGAGGCCTCTGGGAGCCCTGAGTCCAGGTTTGCACCTTCATGGAGGTAACATTGATGAGAGGAGAGGTGCAGTGTGGGTTTGAATCCTCAGTCTGCTTTTTCCAGGCTGTGCTACTTGGGCCCAAGGGCTTCCCTCCTAGAGCATCAGGTTCTTCCCCGGACAAAGCTCGGGGTGTGCAGTGCGGTGGAAGTGGGGCGCTGAGGCTGAGCTACAGCAAGTGAGCCCAGGAAGCTTGTGCGTCCTGGTGACTGGGGCCGCAGAAGGTGTGGGATGACCCGAGCTAGGTGCATTGTGAGTTCTGTTATGGAAAGGGTGTGTATGCAGAGAACTCTGATCAGAACAGTTGTAAAAGTGACACAGATACTGAACTTTGACACTCCCTTGCTCCAAAACTGCCCATGGTTCCCTATTGCCTACAGAGCAAGTTCCGTTCTTCTTTACTGCTGAGAGGCCCTGCAGCCTGACCTTGCTCTCTTCCTGCCACTATCCTTGTTACCCCAGACACCCTTGCCTCCTCACTGATTCTTCCACAAACATCCTCTTTCCTGGCTTGGCCTGTGTTTTTGCTTCTTCCTTTTTCTGGTCTTTTAAAAATTTTTTTTCTTAAATTTTGAGACAGCATCTCCCAAAGTCATTAACTTGCCCAGGATGGGCTTGAACTTGAAGTCTTCCTGCCTCAGCCTCTCAGAATGCCACCACGCTTTGCCTTGTCTTGCTTTTCACCTGTCTCTCCCTAGACCTGAGCTGGCAACCATACCTATTTAGATTTCAACTAAATAGAATGAAATAGAATTCAGCACTCATACCCCAGCCACATCTGCCACATATCAGGTGCCCCAGCCATAAGTGGCACAGGACAGTGCAGGTCCCAAGTGTTTCCACCTTCACAGAAAACTCTGCTGGCCAGCACAGGTCTACACTGGCAGCTCAGGGTCTGTCTTGTTGCCTGGGCACAAGTGCCATCAACCCTCAGCAGATGTTTCCTGCATGAGCCACAGGCCTGAGATCAAATCCCAGCATGGCCAGCATCTACAGCTGTGTGACCTTGTGTAAGTCACTTCCCCTCTCTGGGGAATGCTGGGAGGATTTGGCGATGGAAGCAGCCAGCCTTGGCTGCAGGTGTGCAGTGAACTCAGGCCCCTTCTACATCCGTTATCCTAGATCTCCTGGCCCTGCCTATTTCTCATGCCCCGCACATGGCAGGTGCTTTATGAATGTTCTGATTCTTCAACCAGGTGGGTGTGGGAGGCAGGCACCCTCTGCCAGGTGGAGAAGGCCGGGGAAACAGCAGGGCTGCCATCAGAATGCAGAATGACCCTTGCCTCCTGCTAGGCCTCTGCAGGAAAGGAACTTTCTGGGAACTCACCAAACTCTGGGGCCTGTGTGTGGGTAAAGGCCTTTACCACCAGGTTTTATTGAACACCTGTTTGTCTACACACTGGGGACACAGCTGGGAAGAAACTGTCCCAAAATTTCACCCTGGAGAAGGTCACCATATCTAGCAGAGGAGACACATGGATATAAACAACTTGTCAGGTGTGGTGGTCCACATCTGTATTCCCAGCACTCTGGGAGGCTGAAGCAGGAGGATTGTAAAATTGGAGCCCAACCTCAGCAACTAAGTGACTTAGCGAATCCCTGTCTAGAAAGCAAGCAAGCGAGCAAGCAAGCAAGCTGGGGAGGTGTCTCAGTGTGGAGGCCCTGGGTCGATCCACAATACTGAAAAAAAAAGTAAACAACTAAATTTTCAAAAGAGAAACGATAGGGCTGGGGATTTAGCTCAGTGGTTCTGCCGCCTGCCTCCCAACCACAAGGTCCTGAGTTCAATCCTCGGTACCCCCCCCCCCAAAAAAGAGAGAGAAACCATAAGGAGAATGGGTGTTTTGAGGAAATGTGGCAGTATGTGACAGACAGGGACCTCTTTGGACAGAAACATCACAGGTGTGGGACTGACTTGGAGCCTCAGCCATCCAAAGCAGTGGGAAGTATGTTCCAGGCAGAGGGAACAGCAGATGCAAAGCTGGGAGACAGGAGAAGCTGGGGGAGCCGGAGCAGCCCAGAAATATAGTGAGGATAGAAGGCAAAACTAGAGCCCAACATGTTCAAATACCAACAGTGGTACCAGTCATGACCTCTCATGAGTGCCAGCTCCTCTCTGGTCCCTCCATTCTACAGAGGAGGCAGATGGAGGCAGGGAGGGGTGCACAGACACCTGGGAAAGCTGGACTCAGGACTGGAACCCACAGTGTGAGTGTGCAGGCATCAGGCCCAGCCAGCACTGGGGGGCAGTGAAGCTTCCTGGGGAGATGGTGCTGAAGCTGGGGTGGGGAGGGGCCCAGCGGAAAGCCCTGCAAGCACAGGGTGTAGGGAATTTGGGACAAAACAGGGTGGTGATGCCAAGGAGCCAGCCCTCTCTGTGGCACTGGGGATCCATAGAAGGCTGTGCACAGGTGAGTGGCAAGGGAGGGTCAAACTGCAGGCCAGGACTGTGGGGATGGGGCGGAAGGGACTGAGAAGGGAAAGGCAGGATGAAGGCTGGGGGTGAGGAGGCACACAAGGGTCCCGGGGGCCGTCCTGGGATGGGGTGCGTGTGGGGTGGGCAGGGCCTCTCCGAGGGGCCTGACTGAGGGCACAGTGGTCACCATTGCAGTTTGGCTCTGCCGGGTGGTGGGGTGGGTGGGGCCTTCTCTCACCAGCCGCCTCCCCCCAGGAGCCTGCAGCACCCCAACGTCCTCCAGTGCCTGGGCCTGTGTGTGGAGACGCTGCCTTTCCTGCTGATTATGGAGTTCTGCCAGCTGGTGAGGCCCCACCCCGACTTCCCTCTCTTCAGAGCCTCTGTGCTCGGCGCTACCCTTTCTCCAGCGCTGGCTACGCGAGTGGCCCCTGAGCTAGCAACTGAGGAGGTTTCAGCATTCCATTCCGTCCTTTGAGCAGAGCACCCCCATCCTTGCTTTGGGGAGGTGCTGCTGTGCTGACCGGTCCTGCTTTCCTCCCAGGGGGACCTGAAGCGGTACCTCCGGGCCCAGCGGCCCCCCGAGGGCCTGTCCCCCGAACTGCCCCCGCGCGACCTGCGGACACTGCAGAGGATGGGCCTGGAGATCGCCCGGGGCCTGGCGCACCTGCACTCGCACAATTACGTGCACAGGTGCGTAGGGCCTCAGGGAGGAGCTGCAGGGGCAGGAGGGGGAGGAGGAAGAAGGTGGGGGAGAAGCCCGAGGATACCGGTGAGGGAAGACTGGGGAGCCAGGAGAGAAGGAGGAGTCAGGGGATGAGAGGGCGCGGCCAGGTTTGGAGGGGAGGAGCTATGAGTGGAAGGGAAGGGTCATGTGAGGAAGGGCAGGATCAGGCACAGAGGGAAAGAAGCTAGGAAAGGGAGTAGAAAAGTCAGGTCGGAGGAGGAGGGGCCAGGAGAGGACGGGGAGGAGCCAGGGGAGGAGAGGAGGAGCCAGGAGAGAAAAAGATTCAAGGAAGGAGGAGACAGCTAGAGCGGGGGAGGGGAGGGG